AGTATTGGTTTCATTCTTCATCACAATTACTTTATCAGCGACTATTAATCGAAAGCAATGCTCTCGTTTCAGAAAGATATCTCCAAGTCGATCTCAAAGGATGGCCAGCTTCAACCAAGTAACGAAGAAGGTATGCATATAGTCGAGAGGCCGGTAGGAGGGCAGGGTTACGCGTTAAAAGTACACGCGGCGAGTTTTGCGCTAGAAAAATTTCCACCTCTGGTCCGAACGTCCAAATTTCCTGCTCTCCTTTGCACTCTTGGTGCCTACAGTGAGGCCGCTGCCAATAGTTCTCGTTCAGCAAACGGGGGGGGGGGGAGGGGAGGGGCGAGAGGGACCAATGATCCAATTTTTCGCGGAGAAGGGAGCTCCGATATTGGTAGAAAAGCGAAGGTAAAGTGGGTCACACATCCCAGTGATTCCCTTCCCTGCAAAAATTGGAATTTTGTAGACCGCAGCATCTGTCACACCACAATGTCCCACCCCTTCACTGTGGATGAGAGCCTGGGGAAATTTTGTGTAGGTGAGAGCGCAGACGAGAAATCCATACAATCCTGGCTGAAGGCCGTAAAGTGTGGCACGCACACATTCACGGCACATTCCAGGAAAGCGCGAGGTAAGCAAGCGTGGATGGAAAGCAAACGCAGCACAGTCTCACTGAACGCAGCTCAACGTAGTGGTTCACGAGGACAAGGAGAACTCACCAGTACTTGCTGAATTGTTCCACCGTATCACATATTGCGGTTGGCAGTGTCACATGTTGTCGCACTGTTTTCACCGCGCACCACTTGTTCGTTTTTTTTTCTGCGCGTCTCCACGTCGATAGCCATGGCGAAAAGTGGGGCGTGATAAGCTATCGGGTTAGTCTCGGAAATAGCGGGCTAAACGCTAATGCGTCGATCCCTTTTTGGAAGGGCATTTTGGGGCTGCGTTTGGTACTGCTTTTAAATTGCGCGCTCCAATGTTCATAGCGCGCTCCAGTGCAACGTGGATTACAGTGAAAACCAATTCACCATGGTCATACATGGTTCTTGTAATAAATGCTGACCGCCTCGCAACCGCGCGCTTTCCTTGAATTTTTCGCGGCATGCCGCACAATAAATTATTACTTGTATTTTGATAAAATAATATAACACTTCTGATGCTTGTGATGTTATCATATCTCTATCATTCGAAATAAGGGATGTAACAGAAACTTCCAGAGTCCCTCAATCCGATATCACAAGGAAGTGTAGTGGTAAGTGATCAAGTCAAAAAGGCAATGCGGATGGAGCAGAAGGCTCAAGGTTTGTGCGGTTTTCCCATCTCATAATGTTAACGGGGATAAAACATAAACGTGCATAGTAAGCCTTATCGAGCGCTACGTCGAGTACGCAATGTTCAAAGGTTGTTCCTAAGATCCTGATGTGGGAATCCTGTACACGAAAATAGGAGCATGGGTGAGTGGAGTGGAACGTGTGGACCGGTAGGGAAGAAAAATGAAAAAGAATTCTCCGAAAACACTAAAGTTAAGGCTGACCCACCCTTCGTGCTTACGAAGGCAATGAGAGACTGTGCAAAGAGGGGAGAGAGGATAGTCGATAAGCAGCCCGAGCGCGAGGAGAGAGCTCAGACATCAGACGTTGTGGAACGCCCCTGTTGCGACAGTTCAGAGTCGGAAGCACGGAACATTCTGCGGACCTTTCAAACAGCCCTATTCTACCCACTCACAAAGATTCGTTCACTTGAATTATCCTAGGTTGTGTCTTTGAACATGCGGCGGTCATGTATCCATGTATGTTTTGACAACACATAGGACCATCAATATTTATTGTTGTTTAATAATAATCTGTTTTAGAAAAGGACATAGCAAGAGATGAAAGAAAACGGAATCATGGAAAATCCACTAAGGATAAGAAACGTAGAATGTACGTTCCTACTATTTGTTATTCTCGACCTACTTAGCTCTTCAATGACGAAAATGTACGCGTGCGTCATACGACGCTTCGACAAAATACAACGGGTCGATTTGGATTTTGACTCGCACAGGACATTTGACGGAACCTCGATGCTTCCTCTCTCGACTCCTTTCAAGTCACCCTTTCCCTTTCGGCCTCTGCACCCATCTTTTCCACCGCCCACCACTTACGGAGTTCCTAATTGCTCAATAGGAAGCTTCTGCTTTGGATGGTAATCTTTTCGGAATGTGCCGACGCACTCCACTAGTTGAAAAGACTGGCGCATGAGGCAGCTTTCTATGCTCCTGAAGTACGACTGAGCCATCTTGCAGGCGATGAAGTTACTAGTTGGTGTGTATAGGGTTCCACAGCGCTACATGTCTGTTGTGATGCGCAAAAAATTCCACGACCGGATCGGCTCGCGTAACTCTAAATTGGATCACTGTTCGCTAGTTCAGCAGCGGAACAACGCTTGTGGGCGAGGCACAGATTAGGACTTGGACAAGTCTTCTTCGGAAGGGTAAGTTTATAAGCATTATTGGCTAGTTTTGCAGTGTGCGTCTGTGTTGTATTTGCAGACATTAAGCGCGGACTATTTTAATGGACCATTCACCGATAACGCTGAAAGTGACGATATTGCAAGCAAGGGCACCGCTTTCGCTAAAGGCAAAGGCAAGTTCCGTTTGCGACACTGTATGAGCAGGTTAGGGTGATCGAACCCTTGTGTGTGTCGTGCCACGCGGGCGTGTAAATCTCAAAGTTGGGTAATTAAACTTCCAGTAGCAACAAAACGAGTAGCATAACATCGGTAAAGTAACAAAATAACATCTTCAGAATACCGGTAAGAGCTATAAGCAGAGATTAAAACTGTGCATCAGCAGAGTTCCAAGAACGAGAACACTCTAAGATGAACCAGTAGTAGTGAGGAATAGTCAAATGATTATCTAACCGTGAGAATTTCTTATTATACATAGCAACACGCCAGAATAAAACTGCTAAATAGCATGAGAAGACAGCTAAAGGGGATTGAACATCACTTCACAATTGACAGGCTTTGGCAAGCGGTAAATGGTAAGGCGAAGGATCTGAAGATCACATATGGCGCAAAGCTGCCGAGGGGACTCAGAAAATCGAGGATCTTGGCTTTCATTCTCGCATCCTTTGATTACCAACTTTTGGCGTAATCAACGATCACCTTGAATGTTCGTCGTGACACCCAATCAATCAATCAATCAATCAATCGAAGAATAGCAATCGCGGGGATTCCGTGATACTGCTGAGATAACGTTACGATTGATATCTACTAGAAGCAGCAGATACCACTTATGCGGGAGCGGAGGCTTTGTAGGTAGATAAATAAAAACGCTGGTGGTTTAATGCCATATCAAGGCCACCAGGTGGCGCTTCAGCTAGTGCAGAATTTGATCGGTGACCGATATTAGTTGAAACTAGCTCTCATACCTTCGCACATTGGATACTGTAGCGAGATCTGCAGCTTAAATGTGCGCGGACGAAAAAGGTGCGAAAGTGCTCGTCCAACCCACATTCTACTCCTTCAATCTACAAGCCTCGCCTTCCGCTGTCGGTTGCCACGTGGCGCTGCTTAGAAAGCGCGGGCGCATTTGAGCAGTGGTCCCATTGCGACCAACTGTTCACGGGCACTGGAACAACTATAGTAGAGGTTCGTGAAACTCGTCCAACGCGCCCCTTCTCTATCCCAGGTGGAGTGCGATGAATAGAGGAGGTCTGTGTGCGGGCGTAGTCAGTGGTTTCGGTTGCTTTCCTTCACTTTTCCAGGCCGCCTCCACCTCCAGCTTCATAACTGAACGCTTTTCCACACCTATTTTATACCGAATCTTGCCTTTAATTCACTCTATTACAAAAGTTACAGGTGAAAGATTTTCTCAACTAGATGATCAAGAAAACGAAAAAGGCAGAGGAGATCCCATGAAAGGTATCTTCACAGTCTTACTACCTGTGAAAGCTTTCTAAAAGTACTCCATTATCCTTTCAGAGAGGAGAAAAATCTCCGCTGCTCATATCTCTAGTGATGGTGATGACGGCGATATCCACCAACAGCTGAAGGAGAATGTGAAAAGAGAAGGAAGTATGATTCAGAGAAAATTTAAAAAAAGGCTGCGATGATATACGACCTAGCTGTCAAAATTGAATGATTTTTACCGTCCAGCAGCTTTTCAAGAACTCCCGCGTGTTATGTGCCCTGGAACCACTGTAGTGTAGCGCTTCATAAGATTAAGGGATCTTTTAATTGGCCGTTTCAGCAATAACTAGTCCTGGTGGTCACCTCAAAAAGCTGTGTGTTAGGTGGCCTCGGGCCGTGATAAAATAATATGGGCAAGGTAGTCTTCCAGACAATGTTCTCTTCCACTTCGAACAAGTTTGAGGCGGTTCTAGAAATTTCAGTGGAGACTTTGTAAAAACGGATTCACAATCCCGGTCAGCCTTATATAATTAAGAAAGAAAAACCCATTATAAACAAAATAATTGATACGGTTCGTTTCGCTCCTTCCTCAGACGAACCTTATTATTTCGCCAATCCCCGGAGCTCATCAGTGAGTTGGGATTGGCGAAATAAAGACACAGGGGAAAGACGAATAAACCTTGATGTGACGTACTTATCATGCAGAGGAGCATGCAATGAAATGAATTGTATATTGACTAAATGAAATGAAAAATAAGTTGATTAAAACATGTAAAACTATAAAGTGTAAAAGGTGGGTGTTTGTAATTGTTCCACTAACAATTAGATAGCACTTTAGTGACGAAGTATTCCTTCCACTAACTTACTAATATTTTTATAATTATTAGCAATTGAAAATTTGTAACATATAAACTTATTTTTATAAATGCACTTAACTATATTAGTTATAATAAAGTTCTCATGGTAACCATTTCCTTAGTAACACTCTTATGAATTCTGTTAGTTTATCAGTAAAGGTGTCTCAAAAACGGAACAAGTGTTAGCTATTCTAAGTGTTTCAGTGTATATGACGGAGCCTTTATTGTTATGGAGATATTGATATAAGAATTAAATGCTCCGGCATGGTAGGCAGCAGAGATACAAACCCAATGGAGCATGAAGGCAAGCGAAAGAACTTGAACGGAAAACCAGAGAAGTATTCGGATCACAAACAGGGTTAGTTATATAAAAACCTTGAGTTATGGGCAAAACACTGTCCTCAACTGGGGTATGAGCCTGGATCTAGGGTTTTGTGGGCACGATTGCGACCATCACACCACGGAGGCCAGGGCTCATCTTAGCTCAGCAAGCGATAGCACGCAATTTCGAAATTCAAGAATCTCGAGATATCGTCGATCAAACCAGTCTGAAGGGGGCAAGCATTATTCCCCAGGAGTGGAAGATTCAGGTTGCCACTGATCGGGCAGCAAAGAGGTGAACAAACGAGTAGTCAGCTCGTCCTTCACGATTTCCCGGCAGTTTAATGAAGTAGACAGCTGCTCGCAATGATGCAACCATATAGGGTAGTGGGCGAATGGGCACGGTACCAGCAAGAGTTACATAAAGCCATATCTTTACCTTTCTTTCGCATTACATGCTATCGAATTCCTCCTTATACGTAGGTTATCTTTCCTTGATGGAAAATGACCCATGTATATGCCCACTCTATGCTCTTCAAACGCAAGGAAGATAGGAGTGGGGCCGTAGAGCCAATCGTCTGCAGGGAAAAATTTTAGATGATAAGAGCCTTCCAAGAAGGGTCAGTGTTGATGGTCATCTTCAAAGAATAGAAATAGGATTGTTGAAAAGATTTTCGAAAACTTTATGAGTCTTAGCCGTCCTCTTCCTGCCACTTGCCACTTGTGACAGATTTCCGACAAAGTGGAAGGTGTAGGGTTCTTGGCGCTAGGAAGCAGTAACGAAACGCTAGGTGTGGCGTCTGGACAGGAGGATTGATTGGAGGGCCATGTTCCGGAAATGGGACGTAATAACCTGTTTTACCCCGTGATACACAGGAGGAGATGTAGCGGGTGGAAAATGTTAGTTCTAGAGCGGCCATTCATTGTACTTATTCAATATCATAGCTACGAATATTGGCACTCATGGTACGTTATCGACTCATTTTGAACACATGCGTCTGATAAGTATCGGTGTATTGTTGAAGAACCCTGGGATGCTTTCCACATCTTCGCCTGTCATGGCCCAAAGAAGCGGTCCTGGACCAGAGAAATGGACACCTCCGCTAGCCTAAGGGTGCAGAGAGCTCCAGGGTGGATCACCTGTGCAGAAAAGTGGATGGGATGTGGGCAGGTAGTGTGGAATGTAGGACATCCACCGGTCCTTATCAAAAGTACGCTCGAAATGAGTCGTTTACTTATTATCTTATCCTTTAGAGAGTCCGGAGAAGTGCCCTCTGGTGCTAAGGATAAGATAACAAGGAGTGGCCCCCTCGAACTACATTTTCACCGATGTGTGCAAAGCGAGACGTGAGAGAGATACAAATTTCAAAGCTGAGAGGAATGGCATGGCTTTGGAGAGTAAATAACCTATTGCTTCAGAAATGAGGAAAAATAAGCATGTTCATCAAGAAATGGACGACGCTACGGAAGGTAACGATGAAAGCTCAAGAAAACGACCTAAAAGTGAGCATTGTGTTTGTTTTGATGATTGATGTGTCTCGCGTGGATAGCCTGTCAAAATCCGCCTACTGTAAAAGGAGTCTGCGCAAATACTCCTAAAGGCAGAGAGTGCGATGGGTAAAAATGAGCGTCAACAAGATCGGTCGTCGGTTCATGGCGGCTGGGAGACGGTCCGACCGATTCCAGGCGCTTGGGTAGCCAGGAGAAGGCCCGCCGTACGGCAAGAAGACAGAGTCAGCGGACGAGTCGCAGCGTGCTGTGCGATGTAGAATTACATTCTATTTAACTGACGCGAAATCACTACAGTACGCGCTGCAACTCGTCCGCTGACTCTTCCTTCTTGCCGCGCGACGGGCCTCCTGTCGGGCACCCCAGGCGCTTTGTGGGCCGAGAACGGAGAGTCTCGATTCGGCCTTCCACCGATGATCGACCTCGTAGGAGCCCGCTGCAACCTTTGTTGTTAGGTTCTTAGCTAAATTACAGAATCTTTTTTTCAGGATCGGCAGAATCGGATATCAAGGCAATGGAAGAAGGTGAGTATTTCAAAAAAAAATAACGGCTGTTGAGAGTGACCGCAAGCTATCCGATGATGTGAGACTAGCAGTGGTTTAGAGGCATTCTTCGCACTCTGTTTCTAAGTGAGGCGTCCCAGTCTTATTATGCTGCATTGTGAGGCAACTCTGGTTGGCTGACCACGTCGGATAGCCCTTCCACTGGCATGAGCCATGTTCCGAGGAAGCTTGGCAGCCCCGCTTTCCAGCTGGTATTCCAGTGAAGATCCACAAATCACAATTCTCTCCCCCCTTTCCCCGCCAACGTTTCCAGTATTATGAAAGTTCCGGAAAATCCCCTGTGTAGTTTGGCTCACTCTGCCGCCCCTTCCCTACGAACACTGGGATAGATTTTTGGAATTTTTGTGAAAATTATTGATCGTTAATTTTTAAGGATTCTCAAATCTCTTCGTGAATCCCTGAACTCTTACGATTCCACTGCGACCTATTCATAGAGCAAGTTAGGACCTCCGACCACGCTTCGAGGAACCGCTGGCGTTGGCTGATCCAGCCACCATATTCTCAACGAGTTAGAAAAAAATTTGCCGGAATCGTATGCACCGCGTGCCCAGCGACGTCACAGTGCCCGCACGGCGAAAAGTCTGGTGCTCGAAAAGGCTAGTACGCCAAATGCTCGAATCTGGCCCTGGAAGGCCTACCTTGGAAGTTTCTCAACGCGTGAGAGGGTGTTTTGCTTTGCTGTTCATGAAGGGTTAATCTTTGTGTGAGGAGTCAGAAGTGACCCTCAACCACTCCTACTCACCCTAGAAGAAGTTTTGGCACAACCCCCTTTCGGATTAACACCAGCGCGAATCGTCGCAAATGCACTCCAATGCTCAGCGCTTGCCGACGACGCTGCACGATGAGCATCGGAGCACGTTATGCTCATTTAAGGTGAAAATTTAGAAACACCAATCCTAATAGTTCTTCTGGAGAAGCACAGCTATCTCATAGATTGGCGGCTTGCCAAAATTTAGCGTGTAGATTCCTAGGCCTAGAGCTGGCAATGTATAAGGTGGCGTTTATCATACGTCAATCGGTAAATGTTTAATTCCTGAAATTCCAGCAACCGAGACTGATCGTGAAGCTGCTCAGTACGCTCATCAGAAAGGCAGCAGGCCAAAGAGTAAGTATATCATATGTCTATATCCTCGGGGTTTTGCACAGTACCCGAGAAAATTCACCTCTCATATAAAGTGTGTCTCACGTTCGAAATTTAGTTAGATTTTAAATATATAAAAGATAAAGTGGAATTGCTTAAATAACCCCAACGAGTCGCGCCGTGCTTCCGAGTTCCATTCCGTACCGTTAAGGCACTTGAGTTCGCGCCCATGCATACGATTGCCCTTCGGTGATCGGCTTAGCTCTTGTTTACCCTAGAAGCTTTGATACCGCAATCCGGGCAGCTTCAGCAGCTCAGTTCTACAAAGAGCTCATTGAATTGAAATCCTCTCAATGAATGGAGAAGCCGGGTCCACCACCAATGTGGAGGTCGTGACACTCTCGAAACTTGTAAGCGCGAGGTAGGGACGTTCGGGGCAATGACTCACATCGACGAGCGCCAAGTGTTGTGAATAGTCGCTGTCTACGTCTCGCTGGCACCCTGTGCTCTCTCGTCTACAAGTCTGTTACCTCGTCATGATGCACTCTATTTCCTTTTTGTTGACTTGTTCACTGCTCCTAGAACGAGTACCCTTATTTTTAGCGTTTCCGGGCTTACCATTATTTTTTCTCCACTTCGGTTCC